CCAGCCGAGGGGCCGAGCGACCGAAAGGCGGCGGGCGAGCCTGGGGCGACCAATGCAGCCGACGGACAAGCGAAAACAAACAAAAAAAACAAAACCAAACAATGGGGCTAGCCGGGGGGCCGAGCGACCGCGGGGCGGCGGGCGAGCCTGGGGCGACCAGTGCAGCCGACGGACAAGCGAAAACGCACAAAAACAACAAAACCAAGGAATTGGGCCAGCCGAAGGGCCGAGCGACCGAAAGGCGGCGGGCGAGCCTGGGGCGACCAGTGCAGCCGACGGACAAGCGAACACAAACAAAAACAAACAAAACCAAGGAATTGGGCCAGCCGAAGGGCCGAACGACCGCGGGGCGGCGGACGAGCCTGGGGCGACCAGTGCAGCCGACGGACAAGCGAAAACAAGCAAAAACCAACAAAGCCAAGGAAAGGGGCCAGACGGGGGGCCGAGCGACCAACGTCACCCAGGGAAGTGACAACCAAACCCTAGCAATAGATCAGGTTTGCGCCCGCCCCCAAAAAACGAAAAAATTCAATTCTTGAAATAGGAAGGCGCTGAAAGTAGATTGGGATCTGGGAATCCAAGAATACCTACTTTCAACGACCGGTGGGTACTACTGTATAAGATTTCTCGGTGCGCGCGTCGCCCCTGCGGGTGAAACGCACATTTAGTATAAGTATGTTGGGGTGACGCCGAAATGCTGCTTCGGAGCCCCTTCTAGAGCCGACTTGTTGAGGATGTCCTTAGCGGCACCTTTTCAGAAACCTGATCGGACAAGAACGGGAATCGCCTGCTTTCTCCTTTGGGCTCGTAGGGGGGACAAGAAGAACAGGACGATGGCGACGACAAGACGGCGGATGTCGATGATGGCAGCGAGGATGACGGGGAGGGCAGCGAGGGAGGCAGGCGAACAACGGTAAGGAAGACCAGCGCGAGGACGAGGAAGAGATGGAGGAGCACAAAGAGGAACGAAGCGGAGGAGGGGGAGGAGGAGTAGGCGGAGGAGAAGGGGGAGGAGGAGGAGGAGGAGGAGGAGGAGGAGGAGGAGGAGGAGGAGGAGGAGGAGGAGGAAGAGGAGGAGGAGGAGGAGGCAAAGAAGGACGACAACACGAAGAACGACGATAAGGAGCCCGACAAAAACGACGTCGAAGAAGAGACGGGGGTCCACGTGATCTTTTGAGTCTACCCTCCTGGGCTGTTGAGGCCATCTGGGGCTATCTTGGGGTATCCTGGGGGGCTCTTGGGGGCCTGTCGGGGTCCTCTGAGGGGCTACTGGAGTCTCCTTGGGCTGTCTGGGCATGTCTTACGGCTCTATGGGGGCTCTCTCAGGCCAGCTTGGCGCCATCTTGGACTGTCTTAGGCCGTCCTGGGGCCCTCTTGGGCAGGCCCAGTGCCGCTTCGGGCGCTCTTGGGCATTTTTAGAGGACAGGCTTGGATCGTATTGAAGCGTTTTCGAGTGCGATTCCAGGACGATGCTAGAACAGCATGTTTCAACACGACGTTACAATATCGTCATTGTTTGAGGATGTCCCTAGTGAAATCGCCAGTTTCGGCAGACTTCAGGGCGCTCTTGGAGCCATCTTGGGGTCCTTTGGGAGCTCTTCTTTCTTCGCACTTCTAGAACGACATCAAAGCGATGTTGAGAACATCGCATACTTTGAAGACCCCAACGAAATTGGGCCTACTCTGCCGTGCTGGTCGTTTTGGTCTGTCGTGCTCCTGATCATTTTCTGAGGATGTCCCTAGTGAGAGCGTCATGCTTCAAATCAGAGGTAGTAGAAAACCTTTGCAGACATCTCATTGCATCGAGGATGCCACAGGCAAAACGCTCCTTGTTTACGCACATCGAGAATCATCGACCTCATAGGTTGGAGGATGTCTCAGGCGAAACGCTTGTTTTTGAGAAGATCAATGTTGCGAGCATCGCAATTTTGTGAGGATGTCTCGAACGAAATGGCACAAACAAATCCGCCAACGAACGATCCCGTGCATTCCCGAAGTGTGTGTTTCGCGGCGCGCGCGGATCTTCGATAACCTTTTACATATACATATTCAAACACAACATCAAATTCGCTTCTCGTACCTCGAAGACGCTTCATGTCAATCCGCCAGCGAGTTCCGGGATATGGCGCGCACCCCTTCATTAGAGAAACATGCATTTGGTTCGTTCAAGCGGTCCACGCCAGAGGCGCTTCCCGTCATCCGCCAGCACCCCTGAATTCGAGAAAACCCATATCCCTGGAGCAACGGTGCACGCCAGAGGCGCTTCCCGTCATCCGCCATCGGGCCTCCAGTGCACTTTGAAGCGTTGCAACATGCCAGATGATATCGGGTATGGTTTCTGTAAATATTGTAAGGTCGCCCCCTCGCGTCACTCACTGGCGCCTCCTGTGGCTCTCAGGGCGGTCCGAAGCTTCCCTGGGTCTCTCCACAACTCTCGACGGCTTCCAAAACGGCCCATGCAGGCCACCAATACTGCGAGGATGCCCCAACATGACCTCACTCAACAATCCCCAACTTGCGCCATAGAAGCCAAGGAGGCCTCCAACACACCAAAGAGAGTGTCAGGAGGTCCCCTGCAAAGTCCAACATGACTCAACAACCAAGCGAAGTCGTTTGGTTTTGATTTGTTTGCGAATCCTGCGCTCCTCGGTTCACGACGCCTCGAAGAGGGCCTCGGAACCAACGGGATATCAACACAGCCCACTGAGCGCTTCCAAAAGCCCTCTGGACAGCCGAGGACAGCTTCAAGAGGGCTTCAAGACGGTCAACAGCGGCCCAGGTCAACCCCAGAGGGTCCCAGGATGGTCCAAAAGGGTCCCAAGAGAGCCCGAAGATACTCCCCAGCTGGACGAGGGGGGCGCAATACGGCAACAAGGCGGCCCAATAGCCGCAAGCCGACCCAAGAAGGTCTCAAGAGTGCTCCGCCGGAGCCGAAAACAAACCCGAGATGGCCCAGGTAGCCCCCCATGAGAGCTCCTCGAAAAACATAGGACGAGAAGTGTGATATGTGACGGCCTTCTGGGCAATGCTTAACGCGTCGCCGCATTGAGTGCTGCCCTGGCACGGTGGTGGGACTTGTGCCGGGTCGGTGTCCCAAACCTGGAAATTTTTGGCCACGCGTCCCCACCGCCACACAAATCCGACAAACTCACCGAACCCAGGGCGGAGCGGTCAGGAAACCTGGCCCGCGGGCCGCGTAGAAAACACACACGCACACATACGCCGACAACCTCGACAAAAACGAATAGGCACGCAGGCAAAAGGGAGACAGGCAGACTAGACTGACAGACGCGCAAAGCGAAAGCGGGGACAGGGGGGACGAGAGAGAGAGAGAGAGAAAAAAAAAAAAAAAAGGAGAGGGACAGAGAAAAACCAAGGGAGGGACCTTAAGTTGGTGATTTCCCCACGCGCCCCTCCCGCCACACAAAGCCGATGAGATCACCAATCTCGGCCGCAACGATCGGGAGACCTAGCCTTAGGTCGGGCGTGTCCCCCTACAGGCGGATTTTGGCTAAACGTTACAAATACAAGAAAACCCATAAATACTAAAAACAAGCATTCAAAAAAAATAGTCCCCACACTTTTGGTAAGACTATTTTTGAATATTCCTCCGCTAGAGGGACCGGCCCGACTTAAACCTAGACCGCGAGGCACCGGCGGCCGCGTAGAGAACGACCGTGAAACGCACACGCACGAACACATCTACGCTGACGCTCCCGACACAGACAGGGAGGCAATCAGGCCAAAGGGGGACAGTCTGACTAGTCTGACAGACAGGCGAAGCGAGAACGGAGAGGGGGGAGAGAGCGAGAGAGAGAGAGAGAGACAGGGGGCGAGAGAATGAGAGAGAGGGAGAACAGCAGAAAGGAAAGGAAAGAAGAACAACGCAGGGAGAGACCCTAATTTGGTGGAATCACCAAGCTAGGGCGGAGAGGTCGGAAAACCTGGCCCGCGAGGGTCCTGGCGGCCGCGTAGGGAACGACCATGGAACGCCCGCGCATTCACACACACACATAGAAACAAACAAACACACACACACACATACGCTGACGCACCCGACGCAGACAAACAGGCGGGCAGGCGAAAGGGAGACGGGCAGACTGGACTGACAAACAGGCAAAGCGGAAACGGAGAGAGGAGGGGGAGAGAAAGAGAGAATGAGGGAGAAATAGAGGAAAACACAAGAGAGAGGGAGAAATATAAGAACAAACAAGAGGGAGAGAGAGAGAGGAAGCACAAGGGAGGAACAAATAACAACAAAGGAGAGACTCTAATTTGGTGATTTCCCCACGCGCGTCCCCCATCCGTCCTCCTCCATCTTCCTCCTCCTCCTCCTCCTCCTCCTCCTCCTCCTCCCCCTCCCCCTCCCTCTCCTCCTCCACCTCCCCCTCCTCCACCTCCCCCTCCTCCTCCTCCTCCTCCTCCTCCTCCTCCTCCTCCTCCTCCTCCTCCCCCCCTCCCGCTGCTTCTCATCCTCCTCCTCCTCTCCCTCTTCCTCCCCCATCCCCCATCCTCCTCCCGATCTTCCTCCCCGTCCCCCTCCCCTTTCTGCTCCTGCTCTTCCTGCTCCTCCTGCTCCTGCTTCTCCTCCCACTGCTCCTCCTCCCTCCTCGTCTCCCCCCCAACACGCTTCCCATGGATCTCCCCCCGCACACATGTCCGTTTCCGTTTCCAATATTCGGCCTTTTCGTTTCCAGTGCTCGGCCTTTCCGCTTCCAGGGTTGGGAACAACGTTTCCAGAGTTGGGAACAACGCTTCCAGCGTTGGGGGAGCAGCGTTTCCGAGGTTGGCGGATGCTGAGATTTCCCAGGTTGGTACCTCATTGACCGGGATTTTCACCATTGTGCCCCAGGCAGCTGGACATGGCGTCAGGACACACTCTGAGCGAGGCTACACAAGCTATTACGCGCACTGGACGCCAGGCTACCGCCTATGCCGTTGAATGCGGCGCCGGAGCGGAGGCGCCAACGTGGAGGCGGTAGATGCGAGCAACACGGTGGTTATGGATTACCTGCTGCACCGTTGACCTCGCCCTTGAACTCCCCACTGGCGTTGCCGCGCCCGTGCAGGTGACAAAACGAACATTTTGCACCATACTTGCACGTACCCCTCCTGAAGACAAAGTTGCAGTACCGATGGCAAGCCCCCTTGAGGCAACGATGCTCGGGTCGGCAGTCCGAGCAACGCTCGCGAGTCTGCAAGAACTGCTCGATGGGCATTCGCGTGGGCGTCCGTGGGACCAGCCATTTCTTTGCCTCCAGCCGCTGATACCAAGTAGGTCGGCACGTCAGTGTAGTGCACTGCCAGTGCCCGCAGACATGAAGCACGCCTACCGAACCACACGTCGGACAAATTATGTCATCCACGTTCTCGTTGGCCTGGATGCCGATCGTACTAACGGCAGGCGCGCTCACTGGTGCGTGCACGGCGCCACTGGGAGTCTCCAGCCAGCCCTCCACCCCGCTCTGGCTGTCTTCGTCCTCGCCGCCGAGGCCGCCGACCGAACCTGAGGGGGAGCGAAAAGGGGGGGGGCAATTGCTGAGGAGGCTCGGAGCGGGTGATTATCGAGCAGGGGCTGGCCCTCCCGGCGCTCCTATAGGCATACCACGACATGCTCTCAGAACCGCAAAATCGTCTACGAACAAGAGCAGTGATCTGATAACACAAACCCGATGCATTAAAACAAGACGGTGTCAGCCAGAAATGCTCTAAGAACAGTTCGTGCAGACCACAAGAGACTCTTAGAGCATTATTTTATCGGCCTATAGGGGAGCCAAGACGCTTCGCCACTGCTCGAGATTCACACCGCAGATAGATGGGCGGGCGGTAGGCCCCCGACATCGAGTGCGCCGAAGGATGGGGCCGCGAGGAGCGGAGGCCGCGCATCAGGGAGCGTCTTGAAAGACGAGGGGGCCATGGAACCACAAAATCTGGGAGACTTCCTGGCCCCCCTCTCCCTGTCCTCATCCCCCTCTGAGACGCCCCCGACAATAGCGAAGCCGGCAGGCGCTCCTGGGCGGTTTGGGGCTCCTGGGGCCCGGGCGCCCCTTTGTAACGACTGGGCGATCGGGGGGGCGATGCCTTCCCTTCGGGCCAGTCCGCCCCTGGCCGCGCCGCGCCCCTGAAGGGAGTGTGCGACGACGACGGGGACGACGGCCCCTCCAACGTCGACTCCCACACCTGGTCTGGGGTGCGTTCTGGCCAGAATCCCGCCAGCCCATTTGGCGTGAGTGGCTTAGGGCGCGTCCTCTTCCAACCCCGTTCTTCTCCTTCGGGGAGGGGTCCATCAATGCTCCTTATATTAATGTACACCACATCCCCCACCCGACCAGCGACAAGCCCGGGTCACTGAGGCCCCCCCCTCGCCTTCCCCTTTTGAATCATCCTGGCGATGGACCCGACCATGTGAAAGTGTGCGTGCCGTGCAGCAGATGGGTCGAAGGAGGGGGAGCTCCCAATGGAGCAACGCCACGTGCGAGGGGTGTGCTGAAATGAGCGGGGCGGCCGAGCGTGGACGCACCCACTGGGGCTTTCGGTTGCATTCCACATGGGGCCAACGTGTGAGTGGTGCCCCGGAATGAGCGGGGAGCCTCGTGTGGACACACCCGCGGAGGCCAGAGGTGCACAGCCGTATCGGCCACGAACTATCTGAAGGGCCGAAACTGATGGGGAGGGTGCAGGCGAGCGCACCCCCTGGGGCCCCAGGGGGGGCTTCCTACGGGGCCAGGAAGCGCGTCCAGGGGTGTGCCAAACGGGGTGGGGCGGACGCATGCGGACACACCCGCCATGGCCTTCCCCTATGGGGTCACGAATCGTGGGAGGGGTCTGCCGAAACGGGAAGGGGCAGACGCATGTGTACGCGCCCAGTGTGGCCCACGAGACGAGCGAAGGGCGTGCTAAAATTGGTGGGGCGGGCGCATGTGGACGCACCCACAGGGGCCTCAGCTGAAGCCCCCCCCATATGAGGGCAACGAAACGTGTGAGGCGTGTGCTGGTTGGTGCGGCGGACGCATGTGGACACACCCAGTGTGGCCCGAGATGGAGCTCTCTATGAGCCTATGTAACCGCAAAACGTGTGACGAGTGTGCCTGAACTATTGGGGCGGAAGCATGTGGACGCCCCCTCTGGGGCCTCAGGTGGAGTTCCCCAAGGGGTCACGAAGCGTGTGAAGGGTGGTGCGACATGGATGGGACGGACGCATGGGGACACACCCAATGAGGCTTTCAGTGAAGCTCCCTATGGGGGGGGGGACGCATGTGGACAAACCCAGTGTGGCCTTAGATGAAGCTCCCTCTGGGGGTACGGAACGTGCGAGGAGTGGACAGACATGGATGGGGCAAATGCGTGTGGAAACACCCAGTGTGGTTTCAGGTGGAGTCCTTATGGGACCACGAAGCGAGCGATGGGTGTGTCGACATGGGCGGGAAGGGCGCGTGCGGACTGCGCCACAAGGACCTTCGGTGGAGCTCCCTACGCGGCCACGAGACGGGCGAGGGGTGCCGGAATGGGTTGGGCAGAGAGTTGGGCAAACGCATGTGGACACACCCAGTGTGGCCTGAGATGGAGTTCTTTATGGGGCCACGAAACGTGTGAGAGGTGGTGTGAGAGGTGTGCCTCATTTGGTGTGGCGGGTGAGACCGCAAAATGTGTGGTGAGTGTGCCGGAACTACTGGGGCGGAGGCATGTGGACGCACCCGCTGGGGCCTTAGGTGGAGCTCCCTATGGGGTCACGAAGCGTGTGAGGGGTGCCCCGAAATAGTGGGGAGGGCGCGTCTGGACGCACCCGCTGTGGCCTCAGGTGGAGCTCCATATGGGGGCACGAAGCGTGCGAGGGGTGTGCCGACATGGGCGGGGCGGACGCATGGGGACACACCCACTGTGGCCTCAAGTGGAGCTCCGCATGGGGGCACGAAGCGTGTGATGAGTGTGCCGGAATGGTTGTGGCGGGCGCACGTGGACACCAAGTTCGGCTTTGGGTGGAAATCCCGACGGGGGGTCGACATGAATGAGAGGTGTGCCGACATGGGTGGTGCGGACGCAAATGGACACACGAAACGAGTGAGGCGTGCGCCGAAACGGGTGTGGCGGACGCACGTGGACACACCCAGTGTGCGGTCTGAGGTGGAGTTTGTCGAAATGGGGGGTGGGTGGGCGGACCCCTGTGGACACACCCAATGTGGCCTTAGGTGGGGATCCCCTATGGGGCCATGGAACGTGTAAGGAGTGGGCCTGAATGGAAGGGGGGCGGACACATGGGCACGGGACGGGAGGAGGGATGACGACAAGGACAGGAGAGGATAACAGAAGACGACGGTGCCCGGACAAAAGTGTCCACGACGCCGGCGTGAAGACAATCAGGCATGATGGTAACGCCAATTGCAATATACGTATGGCTCGCCCCCCCTCACCCCCAAACCCAAAATTGAGGTGTCCATATGTTGTCCCCCGCGCGTTGCCTCGCACCCAACCCCGTCAACTTTGGGTTTGGGGGGGGCGTTGGCTATGGATATATCCCATGTTGGCGCGATAGGTGTGGACACTTGTTGTCCACTCACTGTTTCAAAGACCCGTTCATATGGTTATGGTATTTGAGCGCTATTCTAAACAGTGTGCGTTTCACGTAAGGCCCCGAGCACGAATAGGAGGGGAAGAGTGGGGAGGATGTCCGAAGAGCGCAGGACTGTGGGGGAGAGCGGAGGAGGGGGGTAGAGTCAAATGTTGGTGTTCGAAAGCCGTTTATGATGATGATGATGACGATGATGATGATGATGATGATGATGATGATGATGATGATGATGATGATGATGATGGTGGTGATGGGCGAGCAGGTATCAGGGCGCTGCCCCCCCCCCGCAGGCCTCAGCTTGCGCGGAACTGGTACAACTGGATAGGACAGGTCATAGAACTGGTCATAGAACTGGCCCATAAATAACGGCATAGAACTGGCCAACATTCTAGAGACGAACACTTTAGATATCTCAAACTCTTTATTTGAGTCGACCAGTTCTTTGCCAGACCCAATTCTTAATGGACCAGTTCTATGACCATTTCTATGACCAGTTGTGCCAGTTCCGCGCAAGCTGAGGCCTACGGCGGAGGGGGGGGGGCGCCCTGATACCTGCACGCCCACATGTACATCCACATCGACGAAGCAACGACACTCTTCGTAACCAGACGTGTGTCAAAGACGGGTTCATATGGTTGTGATTTGTGATCGCTATTATTATAAACTTGCCGCGTTTCACGTGAGGCCCCGGGCACGAATAGGAGGGGAAGATGGGGGAGGAGGTCCGAAGAGCGCTGGAGCTTGGAAATACTAGCGTCGGACTCTGGGGGAGGGCGGAGGAGGGGGGTAGAGTCGAATGTTGGTTCGGAAACCGTTGACGATGAGGACGATGATGATGATGGTGACGGGCGTGCAAAGAAACAAGGCGCTCCCCCCCCCGCCGCAGGCCTCAGCTTGCGCGGAACTGGTACAACTGGATAGAACTGGTCATAGAACTGGTCCATAAAAAAATCCGGCATAGAACTGGTTGAGACGACCAGATCTATGCAAAAGCCAATTCTTAATGGACCAGTTCTATGACCAGTTGAATGACAAGTGCGATCCAGTTGTGCCAGTTCCGCGCAAGCTGAGGCCTGCGGCGGGGGGGGGCGCCCTGCTACCTGCATGCCCACATGTACATCCACATCGACGAAGCAACGAAACTCTTCGTACCCAGACGTGTATCAAAGACGGGTTCACATGCTTATGATATGTGAGCGCTATTATAAACTGCGCGCGTTTCACGTGAGGCCCCGAACACGAATAGGAGGGGAAGGGTGGACAGGAGGTCCGAAGAGTGCAGGAACTTTGGGATGATAGCGTCGGACTCTGGGGGAGGGCGGAGGAGTAGGGTAGAGTCGAATGTTGGTGTTCGAAAACCATTAACGATGTTGACGATGATGGTGATGATGATGATGAGGATGAGGATGAGGATGAGGATGATGATGATGATGATGATGAAGAAGGTGATGATGGACGTGCAGGTAACAGGGCGCTGCCCCCCCGCCGCAGGCCTCAGCTTGCGCGGAACTGGTACAACTGGATAGAACTGGTCACAGAACTGGTCATAGAACTGGTCCACACAAAATGAGGTCCGGCATAGAACTGGACAAAATTCTACAGACGAATACTTTACATATCTCAAATTCTTTATTTGAGACCACCAGATCTATGCAACAGCTAATTCTTAATGGACCAGTTCTGTGAGCAGTTCTGACCAGTTCTGTGACCAGTTCTATCCAGTTGTACCCGCGCAAGCAGAGGCCTGCGGCGAGGGGGGGCGCCCTGTCACCTGCACTCCCACATGTACATCCACATCAACGAAACAACGCAGCTCTTCTTACCCAGACGTGTTTCACAGACCGGTTCGTATGGTTATGAAATTCGAGGGCTATCCTAAACTGCGTGCGTTTCACGTGAGGCCCCGAGCACGAATAGGCAGGGAAGAGTGGGGAGGAGGT